GCGTACATAATGGTACCTGGCCTGGTAGCAATTGCGTAAGAGGAAATTGCAGTTTTGGGATACATAATTGCACGTCATTTGTGGCTTTGTTATGTTTAAAAATTTTGCTATGTTTAAAGTTTTAGGAAACATTAAACGAAACGTATTGATCATGAGCTATGATGATGTCACAGTGGGAATATAGTCATGAAATTATTGTATTGTCATTGGTTCTTCCTCAAATGAGTTTCTTCATATATCTGCATCCACTACATCTACAGATTATTAAGACATCTGAAAGTGAGTTAAAACTGAATTACAATACATATTTTTTTAAATAGGTCATGCTTATATAGGACGTGTAAAAATATCTGCATTCTGTATCTGCAATAAACATGAAAAGAACATTGCTATTTTTCGCGGACTAAACGTAAGCTATAAACAATGAAAATGTACATTTAGGTATTTTATATATTATATAGTTTGCAAGAAGATGTTGTGACCAGGACTAAGAAAGGAATGCTTCGGTAATATGAACACGTAGAAAGAATAAATTCGGAAACAGTGACTAAGCAAATCTATGCTACAGAATTGAGTGCCTGAATCGGCAAAAGACGCCCTAATTGGAAGTTTATCAACTAAATTTGCGATATATGGTGTACTAAAGATTTAGTTATTACCTTGGCCAATGAGCATAATTATATGCGTAAATATATTATGGACGTGAAGGCCGAAAGAGGTGTGTCAGAATCGTACCAAAGGGAAATCTGAAATCTCTACTGGTGGGTGTATTATGTATTTTTTGATTAAGTTTAATTTTAAATATTATAAATACTAAAATTGTATAAAATTATTTTTAATCCGTAATGGAATAAAATTGTTGACAGCTCTGAATAATAAACACCTTTAGCACTGACGTTATTTAGCACTGTAAGAATATAAATCAACAATGTTTTCATTATCCGGTATTTAAAAGTAATGTAACTATTTGTTTATAAAATTTACGATCTAATAAATTAAATAAATACAGTGGACTAGAAAACGAACGGATGTTAAGACTAAATCAGCTTGATTTTATCTGACCTATAAGTGTAAATGTTTTGCAAGTAAATATTTGCACAGTACAGCAACCATTCGTTCCTGTTTCATGACCTAGTTTTAATTAAAATTTTATCAAGGACTCACTTTTTATAAAGATAAGTCGTTAATCGGTACCGATGTACGTCACAAATTTTACCTTTTATATGAAATCTTATTATTAATATGTCATTATACCTACTCGTAATTCTTTATTCATTCATAACATTTAAACAAAGATTACAATTTCGGAATACCGGATACAATTTTCTCAGTAGCCAAGCCCCGTGTTTATAAATATTATGTAGGTATGTCGTCGGAATGGTTAAGCGTATGGAAGCGGCACTGCAGGTTCGTAAAACCCGTTTTATTAGTTGGTTGCAACCTATCAAAAGTATACTGCTGAACATAGGCCTCCGCTATACATCACCTCTGAACGGGTTCCAACCTTGTCATGGCGGGGGGCTTAGTAGCGCGGCTTGTTCACCCCCGGTGAACAAAGAGGAACCCACTTGGCACGCCCGAGGTGGCCACTCCGAGTGGCCTTGCCGTCGTGGGCGAGCCCACTTCAGATGTGTTTCGGTAGGCTGCGGCGAGAGAGGTGTCCTCTCTGTCCTCTCCCCCTACAGACAAGATGGAGTCCCGGAGGAAGAGAAGTGTCGCTATGGCGATGCACCACTCGCCCTATACTCCAAAATAGCAGTTGTTTTGGCTCGCCGTCACTTAGCGGTTAGCCACCGTAGAGTCTATATCACCTGAGGATGCCTCGTGTAGAGGCGAAACACGTGTCGTATTGTCGTCAGTGGTGTGTCTTTCCTAGTGTAGTGGTGTTGGGAGTAGTGGTGCTGGGATTAGTGGTGACTGGGATAGTGCACGCAATTGAGGGAGGGTGGGAGGTGCTCTTCAAACTAGATAAGACACATCATTTTATTTTATCGAGCGGATGTACGCAAAGTAATTTTTTGTCAACTTTAACTTTCCAATATATTCAATGTTAATATTCTTCCACCAAGACGTACTTGCGCGGCGTTGCAGTATTTCAACATTACTATTTGTTGAAATCTATCCAATTAGAAAACATAAATAAATAAATATAATATTTTTTATTATGTATGGAAAAAATAATGTTTGAATGTTCAAGTCTTAGAACAAAATTCGTTAGAGATAGGATTTAAGTTCGAGAAGCGTTTCGGTATATTAAAGTTAGCCCTGGATTTTCCACTCACCGGCACGACACCAACACGGCATCGGCATGGCGCCGGTGCCGGGGCTCCGTTTTTCCACTGGGCCGGTGCCGTGCCGGTGCCAATTTACGTTCGGTTATTAAGCAGTATTAACACAGACTTCAGTTCTGCAACATGTGAAAATGGTCTCGTCAAGTCGTCGTATTTATTTGTTAAGTTGGAAAAGTAGGCAGTGTGAAGAAAATTTAAATAATTAATTTTTAAATATATTTCATTTCTTCACGCTGCGGCTGATCTCTCTCGGGTTGTATTGGATTACCGTCCCATCGAACCATAAGAGTGAATGTTATACAGATTTTAGCTATGTCCTACGCATATGGCTAGTCTCTGTTAAGGCTGGCCGCCATAACCGAATTTCAGTCTGAATGATATTATTATCATATTACACATTGAAACACGATTCCTGCTCTGAAATCTGAGCGAAAGCTGTCATTATTGTACGTTTGATTTTCACACCAAAGACACGGCGCCGGTCACTATTCTCGTGCAGAGAGATTGACGAAGTCTTTGACACAGACACGACGTGTCACTGTTTTTGCACGTGTCTTATCAGACTATGAGCGTTTTCCAATCGCCGGCACGGCACCGGCACGGCCTCGGCGCCAGGACCGGCTCAACTATGGGGAAAGTAAAAATATATAAAATATATGGTATGTGTTTCCTCTTACCGGCGTCGGCGCCGGCACGGCGCTGACTCCCACCGCTGCCGTCGCTGGTGCCGGGACAGCAAGCTTCCTGCTCGATGCTGGCCGGTAAAATTTAATGTGTATTGTGTACGTATTGTAGCAGTGTGCGTGTACGTGGGCGCAAGCCGAGGTAAAATAGACGCGTCCAGATTGAGATTCGAAGTTGACGTGTGAAATTATGAAATGTCTCTTCGTTCATATGGAAGTAACGGAAGTTTTCAACTTTTAAAATAGGGTGTATTATGTTTTTTCTCAGTATCTAATTTTTAAAATTTGACTTCTCTGCCTTGATTATATAGTCTTCTTAAATATAAGAGATATAACAAACAAATATGACGACTTGACGAGACCGTTTTTACGTCTTGTGTCTGTGTTAGTACTACTACGTGGTAGAGCCATGCTGCAGCTATATTAGTAGTATAGTTGTAGCACGAATGGGTCGGCTCGACCGAGGAAGGACCACGCTCTCACAGAATACCAGCGTAAAATAGCAGTTTGATGCTGCTGTGTTTCGTATGGTGAGTGTAGAGAACAGGAGACCCTTTTTACTGGAAAAGAGGCATTCTATCTTAGTCCTCATGGCTGACAAAGTATCTGCATTTTAATTCGCAAACGAAGATAGATGTAGAAGTCTATGGGCCACAGCAACCACTTACTATCAGGTGGACTTTGTGCTCGTTTGTCACCCTTATTCTATAAAAAAAAAACCAAAAACCTAGCGTAGATTGGCACCGGCATCGGCCCAGTGGAAAAACGGAGCCCCCGCACCGGCGTGGCGCCGTGCCTGTGGCGTGCCGGTGACGTGCCGGTGACGTGCCGGTGACGTGCCGGTGACGTGCCGGTGACGTGCCGGCGAATGTAAAGGCGCCCATAATATCAGGGGTACGTCACTTTGTGCCGAGCAGCATCAGTAGAGACAAAACTGAGTAAGAGGCGCAAGAATGAGTCAGAGACGACTACATATTTGTGCCATTTTCTGTAGAGACTATCGGTCCGTGGGATCCACTTGTATTGAAGTTCCTAAAAGAATGGTATCTGCGACTTGTCGTTGCCGCTTCTGATAAGAGGGCATGTTCTTCTCGACTTAGCCTTTGAGCTCTTAACCAAGAAAACGAAGCCAGCGTTTTTAGTGCTATACCGTGGAGATTAGTTTTTTGTTTTATTTTTTATAAGTACAATAAATATTGCATATCTTCATATTTTAATAAATTGAGATGCAGCCACAAATGTGTTTAAAATGCAATAGACATATATGTTGTTTTTTGATTGTGCACGTTTATGGTTCAGTACCTTTTTATTGACTTATTCCCTAAGTTTATAATAATACATTCTAAAAACAAATTACATTAAAATACTCATTTTATAAAGATACTAGCCACCCACCGCCACTTCGGCTTTCGCTTTTTCCGGGATCTATTAATGTTTTTTATATTTAAGACCATTTTATTCATCAGATTTTTGTTTTTTTTTTTTAATCTTTAATTTTTTTGAGCTTAATAGAATCCAGTTATTTGAATGTTACATACACACAATTTTTAACATGTAAACATTAAAAAAAGTATGCCAGTTTTCGACTATCAAGAAGTAGGTAGTTAGGTATTTACAGAAAATGTTAACGTAATATGTGATAATTTCCAATATACTTCGGTTTATGGTAATGGTATAATAATAAAAACAAGGTATTTATAATCTTTGAGTAAAAATTATTCTGTTCCGTTACATTTTGTGCTGTTCTATTTTATTCATTTTGCGATAATTATGACTTCCTTAAAAGAGTTTTGACTTGCAATAGATCTCTTTAAGCTTGATATTTATTGAGTTGTGCTAGACAGCTTCTACAGCTTATTTTTATCATTAATACATGAGTTTCATTTAAAAATTAATTACACTAATCAAAACACGAAACTCGGAAAGCCAAAGAGCCGGCTATTTGATCTCAAAACAATACCTTCTCGCTTATTTCGGAACGTGAAAGCTTGCAAGTCGACTTGAATTCTTGAATGAATACAGTGGCACAGTCATTATCTAGCCGCGCGCATCTTCGCACGCGGCTCTTGCGCACCAACTATATAATACTTCGGTGAAAAATTATTCAGCGAATTAAAATGAATTTAATAAGAAGATTTTCGTAATAACTAATATAACTATTTTGGAATGTGTGGTTTACGTGAAGTGAAATTAAAGTGATTTTTTTTTGTGTTTATTACGTGAGAATCCAATAATCAAAATGAATTTAATTTTGTAAGTATATATAATTATCATTAATATGTTAAATTAATACAAAAATAAAAACATTTAATTAAACATTAATTTCTTTCGTTAAATATGTGTAGTTCTTTTAAAATTTATCCATTGAAAATATTTAAATATTGAGACCTTCACTGTTCTTTCTACATTCAAATTAGTTCTATATTTATTCTCCTTAAAAATCTGCACCGTGAGTTATTAAAAAAATAATATTCTTTAGAAGATTAATGTAATTTCGGGGAAGAGTTGGGTCTTGTTGATACCAGCGTTTTTCTTGGAATCACTATAGACGCGAAGCTTTAAGACTCTATATATATCTACTCTACATATCTACTAGCAAGCACCTAAAAGTTAAAATTTTATATAAGTGATATATATATATACATTTCTTTTTTGTCTTTTATATAATTATATAATTTAAAATATATTTCTACATAAAAAAGCTTTGTGCTCTTTTTTAAACCAGTTATAAAACGGAATTTCGATAAAAATCGACATCTGCCCAAAATTATGCAAAGTTATAAGAAAGTTTACTTTAGTTTCATTACGAGTGTTAAAATTATGGATATCACGCATTTAGATATTAAAATTGTTTAGTAATTAGTAATTACCTAAATAATATTAAGTACATATTCAAAATTAATTATGATGTAACAATTTTAAAAATGTATCTGAGTGAGTCCCTTGATCTCAAGCAATCGGTCATTGCATGAGTAGTATGCAATATGCTTTAAAACCTGAAAAGTAGCTCAGACAGATGCTTAAGGAAATTAATATATTTTTACACTATCACTATCACAAGTGTATAGGGATGTCAAACGTCTCAGTGCCCCGTGACTATGTGTGCTGTAAAACACCGGAAACCTTAGAAATTAAAATAATTAAAAATAAGTTCAATTAAACGTGATAAAATCCGTAAAATTAGGTTGACACCCAAGGTGACCTCATCACGCGAATCTCATGAACGCTTCCCGATCCAATCCGCAATATATGTTGAATCTCTTCAAAGTGATTCGCCTCTTTTCTTCAATTTATTTTAACCGCTACTACATTTTCTTGTGTAACAGTCCTCAAAGGACGAAAACTTCTTCTTTATCTCTCAAAGTTCGTTGAGCGTGCTTAAATTTGTTATACTAGCGGTGCACGGTTGTTTAGAAGTTATCTATAAATGCCATTTGAGTGTTATCAAACGATTACTACGGTTGTAGGTAGCTCTTAATAAATATGGAGCAATATTTTTTACAGAATAAGGATAACAAACTAGCACACAGTCCACCTCATGGTAAGTGAATGCTGTGGCCCTTAGACATCTACGTCTATCATCCATCAAGAATCAAAATGCAGATACAATCAAAATGTGTCACCCGTGAAGACTAAGATGAAATGCCTCGTTTACAGTAAAATTTAAAATTAAAACATTCCAATTTTTCACTTGTAAATTTTTCTATTTTTCAAAATAGAATAATTTACAAGTGAAAAATTGGACAAAGTCTCAAAAAAATCTTTTTTTTACAATACATAACTCAAATATATATATTTAAATTATGCGGTCTCCACAAGATAAACTCACGGATTTATATGTATTAACTTATAAATAATTAATGTATTTCAAAAACGTTTGAAAAATACAACAATAAAACAAAATCGATGTGTTTCGACCATTTATAATCAACTTAGATATTTTAAAAGTTTATATATATATATATATCTAACTGCATTTTATCAGATTGATCAAAAACCTTAATGACGTTATGGTATAAGGCAGTGCGCCTTTTTAAATTGCCTAGAACTATTGAAAATTCAAAACGATAATTAAAATATATTTAAAAATAAATGGAAAAAAAACACGAGTAGTAGCGCCACTTTGTAGCAAAAATAGGCTGCAGCACGAATGAGTGGGCTCGTCCGATGAAGGATCACGCTCACACAGAAATCACAGGATATCAAGGTAAAATACGTATATATATATATTTACATGGTAGAACCATGCTGCAGCTATCTTACTGTTATAGTTGTAGCTCGTATGGGTCGGCTCGACCGAGGAAAGACCACGCTCTCACAGAATACCAGCGTAAAATAGCAGTTTAACACTGATGTGTTTCGTATGGTGAGTGTAGAGAACCGGAGACCCTTCTTACTGGAAAAGAGGCATTCCAACTGAGTCCCAGTGATAACGCATCTGCATTTTGATTTGTAATCAGGGATAGATGTAGATGTCTATGGGCCACAGTAACCACTTACCATCAGGTGGACTGTATGCTCGTTTCTAAACCCAATTCTATAAAAAAAAATAGCTGCAATATTGCTGCTGTGTTTCATGTTGTATGTCGAGAACCAGAGACCTCTTTTACTAGTAACGAGGCAAACCATTTTAATTCTTAGGAGTAACAACGAATCCTGTGTTTTGATTCTTAATCAAGGTTGAATGTGGGTGTTTATGGGCGACGGCATTCACTTACAATCAAGTGAACTACACAGAAAACACAATACTGTTATTGTAATATATTAAATTTGTATTTATGCATTAATGCAAACAGTTGAGTGTGTTCAATGCAACAAATCTTCTATTTATAAAAACCAAATGCTGTCCGCAAAAACTCTGCAATGGCTGGACCGATTTGGATGAAATTTTGTGTCTGTGTTTGATTGGGTCCCTGGATGGTTTTGATTTCTTTGACTTGGTAAGTGGCGGTGTTGATTAGTTTCAGTAATCACCCATGCGAAACTGGGGTGGCTCGCTAGTATATTACGTAATAGGTACTTGCAGTGTTGTGGTAAGAGTATCTATCACCCCTTTTCGTCCCATGGATGTCGTAGTATAGCAGGCCAACTTGGTAAATGCCAAAAAATCCTATGGCTTCCCAAAAGCCGCTATATCAAACTTGTTTCCCCCAGAAGTAAAATACAAAGACCGACGTTGAGCAGTAACGTTGGAGAAGGTGTGATACGTCAACCCATCTGCCAAGCGTGAGAGGCAAATAACCTATACAACGGGAGTATTTAGTACAAGTGATAGGTGCGGTATCATAAGCACACTAGCCCTTTCGTACGCGTGTAATAATTTATTACGATTGGATTTCATGGGATTTAATTTTTTCACGCGGAATCCTAATTATTTTTCTAAAACAAAAAGTGAAAGTTCCATCAAAATGGGTCCAACCATATCGGAGACTAGCCGGAACAAACAGATAGACTAACGGACAGACAGACAGACAAAACATTTAAATTGTGTTTTTGTTATAAGTACCGTATATACTTTCATACGCATTTAGTAAAAAGCTGTTATTTAGACATTACATACAGACACTTCAATTTTATTTATTTGTATAGATTATAAAAATGTGTTATACTGCATTTGCTCCGTAGCTTAGACAGAGAATAAATAATAGTACAAGCAGGATTTTCTTTTAAAAGTATCACTTGATTATATTAAGTATAGTATTTCCTTTGTTTTATTAATTATTTAGAAAACAGGTTGGTTGCGATCACCGCATTCCGAATCGAATTAGATGCATTGATTAGGTAATGTCCTTGAACATATTCTACTGTCTATTATTTTTCATTTACCTACAATATAAGTCATTTTACATAATATTTAATTATATATTCATTTATGTATTAAATGTAAAGATTTAATAATACTCGTAAGTACCTTGAATTTATATTTTTACTTATAATGCAAATATTACATTATTTCAATATAGTTGAGAGAGGATGCCTTAAGGCATTTATTAAGTCAGGCCCTTTGTAAACCTTTTTATAAAGATCGCTTGACGGCTTCGTGGTGCAGTGGCTTAACAATGACTTCCGGAATTGAGGGCCGCGGGTTTGAATCCCGCATGGAAAAAGTATATGTATGGTCTACAAGTAATTGTTCCGGGTCGGGATGTTTGTCCTTCCAATTGACCAATTTATGTAAGTAAACTGCCTCCATGATATTGGAGAATATCACAGTGGGGTAACGCATTTTTAAAGAAAAATAGAACAAATAGTAAATTAATAAATAAAATGAACAATAACACATGATTCGTAGTATTCAAATATACGTTCGTGGAAGTTTTTTACATCTATAAGTTAATTATAAGCAGTAAATAATAAACATTAAACCTCTTCATCTTAAACAGTTAGATGACCTTCTTTTTGCTATGAACATCGTACATTCAATGGCATATTAAAAACCGGCAAAAGGGCAACTAAATATGTTAAGTAAATAGGTAAATTAGTAAACTTAGGTAAAATATGTATGCATGATTATAAAAACCTAAACTTTTGTGATATTAAATATTAATTTTGCGACTTATAACTAAAGAAGCTAATAATTTAAGTAAGCAAAACGTAGCTTACAGCAAACTTATCGACTTAGTAAGATTACTTAGCTTTGCTTGCTTTATTACACGCGAACTCTACTCGGTGTGTTGTTTGTATTGGTATCGATAATCTGTGCATGTTTCTTTGATACTAACAATAGCACAATTATGTCTTGGTTTGCTGGTAAAACATCAAATATAATTAATACGGAAGTGTGTCATACAAGTTTGAAAAAGAAAATGGCGACGCATCTGCAGTCTCTATATTTACACAAACTATTTCGATCCTTTTTCGAACCCCTCATAACTCAAAACGATTAAATCTACATTGATGTTCGTTTAAATATTTTGCATGCCTAATAAAGACACTTAAAGTGCCTAGACTTGAAAATTTGATGCATAAACATATATGGTTCTTGAGTTATTTAGGTCTAAAAAGTGCAATTTTATCATACACTAACTCGCTCATCAAAAACCTAGACCACTTCTAGGTTACTTACAAACATGTAATTTGGTATCGAGGTAGATCATAAGGTTTATACAAAGGAACAAATCTGGAAACTAGAAATTATTGATATTAGGTGTAGAACAAGTGTCAATAAAGTAAAGTAGGCTCCGTGGCGCAGTGACTTAGCAAGTGATTTGAGTGATGCAGCATGAGTTGCATCAATGAGTACGAGCGTTTCT